GCCCTTCGAATACGTGGACGAGTAGGCGTCCGGTGAGTGGTGGGGTGGCGCTCGCAGCGTCGACAGCAACGTTAGAAACGGCATGCATGCACGGTTGTGAGATGTTAATTACCTCGCCTGGTATGAAGGAGGTCGTGGGTTCGATTGCGACCCTTGACGCCTGCTGTATATTTGGTGTTTGCGTGTCTCTCTCCCTGTGGTCGCGTGGATTTTTCTCTGGGTCCTCCGGTTTTTCCCTCCACATTTAGAAACAACCTGCACTTAAGAGTATTTGGCTGCTCCTAAATAAGCCACTTCGTTGAGCCATCATTTGTGGGTCAGGTCACTTCTGAAAAATTAGCTACACAGCTCAGTGGACCTTACCTGGTAAAATAAAATAATTTAGTTTAACCGGTGATGTGGAGTTGTAAAGAATGTCAATGTGACGAGGCCCACAATGTGATATTCGTGTTATATTGACCCAGGGAGTGATGTACGGTGGGCTGAGTAAACCCAGCCCTCAAGCAGGATTTGAACTCGCGTTTATTGGGAGTGGAGCTCTGTCTCCACGGTGCCGCTCAGCCGGAGATAATTAGTTGGGAGAGGGTTTATACGAGGGGTGTACAGCAATGTTGGTCTCACATGCAGCTGGTTACATCCCCTAAAGTTTATAATAATATACCCAGGGAGGGCAATGTTTCCCCGCGACTGTCGCCGACAGTGCATGTACTCTTGAGCAACCGTGGAAACCTGTTCAGACGATTGCGTGGAGTGACCCGTTCTGTTTGTGAAGAAGTTTTATTCAAACAGTATCCTTCGATAGCCGCTGTAACCAACTCCTTTTGGAAGTTGTGTTTCCAATTTATCCACGAGAGGGAGCAGCGGTCAGATTTGTCCAGATTTGGGTAACTCAATGTTTTTCCCCCCCACCCCACTACTGGAAAAGTCTGCGGCTATCCTCGGAGGTCAAGAGAGCTGACAATGCCGAGAACCTGGATTAGAAGCCTCCCGATTTAATCTCGTTCCAGTCTCGCGAGTCGATGGGTTTCTCAGCTCAAGTCGCCAATGGCTGCACAATAAAAACCTTCACAGTAAATTTGATTCCATGCTTAATTTTTGTTAAAAAAATTCCAGCTTTCAGAATTAATATATCAGCTCGACTGCCATGTGATGAACCTCATTCTCATATGCAGGCCGAGTGGGAAAGTGCCTGCCTTCCACTGGAAGGAATCTCAGCGGCAGCTCTGTGATATCCACTTCCACAGGCCGTTATATAACCACAAAGCGCTGCACACTTCTCTGCGAGAGATCCGATTGAATACTTAATCCCTTGATGTGACACCGACGGTACAATTGATAGGGAATTTCATTTACGAAAGATGAAAGAATACTTTTCTTACAATGGAAAATGGTGCGGCAATGATTGCCCTGGCGCCAGGGGAGCTAGATGTAAACTACCTCGTCTGGTACGCGAGGTAGTTAACACGTGTATGTTTGGAGTTTGCATGTTTTCCCCGTGGTCGTGTGGATTTTACTCCTGGGCCCTCCCGGTTTTTCCCCTCCACATTTAGAATCAACGTGCGTTGAGAGAATTTGGCTGCAAAACATTTCCACGTGATAAGCCACTTCGTTGAGCTGTCATTTGTGGCCAGCTCACTTCTGAAACTGAGCTATATAGCTCAGCGGGCCTTACCTGGTCACATACATTGTTTAATAGTTTAATAAGCATTGTTGCGTTGGTGGACATGCAAATTCCAGAGGATGACAAGGAAAACAATAATGCGCGAGATCGACGGAAAACACGATTCGGCACATAGCACCTCTGAATGCGCCTTGTGTAAAAAAATATATTTTTAAAATGTGGTGCTTGCATTACCGTTTGGAGGCCGTGCGGAGGAGTAATGCGACGTTGCCGGCGCGCAGTAGCGTCGCCGTGCGTTGAGGGGCTTCCGCATGACGCGTGCGTGCGTATGGCGGCGTTCGAGGGACGTGGACGCACATTGAATACATCTTAAGTAAATGTCATTACAGCTAGAAATGACATCGGTGGATCCCGTGATATATATTTATACATTTGTGTATTTGTCGTCGTGCAATTGGGGTCTCTTTTTGTTGGGCCGTTTTCAATTTGCCCACGTGTATTTTATTTTGCCCACCCCCAACCCCGCCAGTTTATATATTCAGAAAGCCCTCGACTTTGGTGCTCTTTTTATCGTGCGAATGATTCCACGAAGGAACCCCGGGACGGCTCAAGAAATAAAACTACGGGGAGCGTCTTGTGAGGCTGAGCTCGGTGGCGGCGAGAGGCCGGAGGCGCACGGAGTCGAGATACTCGGGGGGGGGGGGGGGAACGTGCAGGCAGCTGAACCACGGCACGCAATAAAATGGGAATTTTGGCTTAAGGTGCCAGGCTGTGTCGTCAGTATCTAATCGAAACATTACAACTCTGCGCGTGCATTGTGAAATGTAAAAACCTTTATTTGCAACAACAACAAAAACCTATGTGTGGGACCTTTTAGTTTTCCCTTGAACGTGTTTTCCACTGAAGCCAAACTAAATGTTCTCAAATTGTCAGAGCTCCTAATGAGGCTGTTTATCAACGGAATCTGTGGGGAGATTTATACCATTTATATTGTGGCGTAGGGATTTAAGCAGCTGTGCCAAAGTTGTACGGTTATTTTTAGCATTCTGAAGAAACTTAAAATAAGTCGACGATTTATTTCCCTGCATTGTTTGAAAACGGGGCCACCGCGGCCAATACGTTTTGACGGTTTTCAGTTCCTGTCCATTATGCATACCCAGCGTATTGTTGAAGGGATTATAAAATTTTAATTTGCCGTGACCTCATTAAGATGCATATGCCCTTGGCCACGTTGAGTGAGTTTTACCTGGCACCATCGGTGAATAATTGTTTCTTGCGAAGAAAAGCAGGGAAAACAAAAACCAGCCCCCCTCGCGAGTCCTCGCAAAACAACGAATCAAGAGTTTTCAAAGGAAACTCTTTACTCGCGAGCACTTTAGAGAGCGAGAGAGAGAGCGCCTGCCCATCGCTGTTAATTTTGGCAGCCATCGAAATTAATGTGGAGGCAGTGGGGTGATTGGCTGCCAAGCGGCCCCGATTAATAATTCACGTGTTGCATAACAATTACATTATTTTTTCCAAAGACCAGAGCTCCCGTTAAGAAAAGATGAAATCACCTGCCCCTAATTAGCTCTGACTTACTGTGCCTAATTAGAGGCCATGTCTCAACACCAGTTCTGTGTTTCACATTGCTTGGCCCTTTCACCAACGCAATTAAAAAATAAACGTCCATTCCGAAGGAAGCCCCAAGCTGTGTTAATGTCTCCGCTGGTTTACAGCGCAGGCTTGCGGCAGGCAGCTGACCACAGTGACAGAATCATGGGCGGAGGGGGGGCGGTGATGGGGCGGTGATGGGGCGATCGTCCCTATTCCACCCCCCCCCCGCCCCCTGGGAAGTTTCTAGATCCACCTCTGGCTCAGCACGTGGTGCCGGTCGGTTGTGGTGGTGCGGCAACATGTAATCCACTACGTTTGGGAAGTAAGATTTGGTGGATGCATACAAATTTTAGATTTCACCGTGGGCCTATAAGACAACTCATGCTGTTTGGGCTGCAAAGAAGCCGGGCGGGGATGGAGATGGAGAGCAGCACGTGGATGGAAAGTGACGCGACAGTTCTTATGACATTACACCAAATAGCCACGTTGGAATGCAGCGGTGGAGAATTACAGGATACAACAGGCCTCTTGCCAGCTCCATCGGGAGTCAAGCAATTTGTTTTTAAGTTTATCACCTAGCTCGTCATCTTGCATGCCTAAACACGTACCCCGCGCATTGCACGCCTCTTGTGGGTGTTTTTTTCTTTTCAATAAACAAGCAACTTGGGATTCAATTGTAGTGATCAGGAGTGTGCAGCTGGTGTTACTATTTTACCTGGGCCCACAGACCAGAAGAGGGCCAGGTGCTGGGTGAAAATTGTGAGCTCGATCCTGACCCCAACACCTGTACATGTGCAGTTTGTGTCTCTCTCTCATCATCACGGTGGCTCGGAGATGTTAACTACCTCGCCTGCTATGCAGGAGGTCGTGGGTGCAATCAGACCCTGACGCCTGCTGTATATTTGGAATTTGCATGTCTCCATTTCTCTCTCTGTGGTCACGTCGATTCTTCTCCGGGTCCTCCAGTTTTTCCCTCCACATTTAGAATCAGCTGTCACGCGTTTGAGAGTATTTTGATGCTAGAGATTTCCACGTGATGGGCCACTTCGTTGTCGTTTGTGGGCACGGTTGCTTCTGAAAAGACCAGCTCAGTGGGTCTTACAAAGTAAAATAATAGTTTAGTTTACGAAATGGGTTGTAGGAAATGGACCGGGGATGGGGGGCGGTGTTTAATTCCATTCCTTGCACGAGGATCCGTGCCGTTTAGTGCAGGGGAAACACGTCCTGACCCGCACAGTAGCCCTAATGTTCCATGGTATGCGCCCTTAATAATCTTTCACGCCGTGTGTTGATGTAATATTATTAATGCTTTGTGTCATTCCCAGGGCGAGAAAGATAACATTCTCGCACGGCTTAGAAAAGTTAAACTTGGCTTAAGTAATGACAGTGGCTGTCTGACCTCTATCGCTTGCAAATCTGTCATTGAAGCGGCGCGAGACGCGGAAAGCGGTGCAGGAAACCGCGGGCGTGCGTGCGCGCGAGCTGTCACGTGCCTCGAAAAAACAGAGGCTTTTGAAGGAAAAGGCGCTTAGGAGACGCCACGCCAGCGGCGCAGGGCAGGAGGAGAAGAGGGGTGGGGGAAAGCTTGATGAGTCACTTTAAGATGTTTTTTTCCTGTTCGTGTTTTTGTGTTTGTTGTGGTTGCACACGATTCAAGAGCCGAATAGCTCACAGGGCTATACCAAAATAAATAAACCGAAACTGAAAAAAAGGTGGTGGAAAGGACAAGTCGACGCGATGACTGGAGAAGAGGCACAGGAGCAATGTGGAGAAAGAACGCGTGTGAGCAGCGGACAGTTTTTATTCGTGTTAATCATTGATGCGTGTTAATAATTTCCACGTGTTATTCAACATAATGGGGAGGAGGAGGGGGGGGTCTTTATATTTGCTATGCGTGCACAAATGGGAACTTGAAAATTAGATTGGGTGCCTCTGTGGTACCTCGCTGGATATTCTTGCTGTGCTCGTCTACCCACTAGGCAAGGCTCGCAGAGTCCCCAGACTTTTTTAGGAGAGGTCCCTGCCAAAGCTTTTGTGCTGCCGTGTTGCTGCTTTGCGTGTAACTTCAATCGAGTCATTTGCAGGTTTAGCATTGGGATGTTTTTGCCAATACCATTTAAGATTGTGTGGGGGGGGGTGTTATTGGCTATGGGAGGAAACCGAAGAACCCGTGCAGAACAAGGGGAGAACATACAAACCACACACACTGCAGTGAGGGGAGGTGGTGCCTGGATTTGTGTTTCCGAAGATCCAGTGTTGGTTTTGCACGGCCCTGAATTTGATCGACATCAACTGTGACGTGAATACATTTTTGCGCTGGATGTTGAACGACTTTCGCACTTAGCCAGCAGTGCCAATCGGAGGTTGCGGTCAGTATAAAAGGCACCCCAGTCAGGAATAGAACTCGAGCGCCCTTCTTCCTCGCAATACAACGAATGAAAACGTTTTCAAATAAAACTCTTTACTCGAGAGTTAAAGAGCAAGGGTGTGCCCCCACCCATCGCTATTAATTTGGGCAACGCCGCTAGGCGCAAGTGTCACCACAACCCACACGTATGATGCACATTCAGGATGTTGTAACATGCTCAACACGGTGACTGATGGACTTAGGAAATGTCTTGTCACTGGGTGGGGGAAGCTGCTACCGTCTGGATCGGGAACCCACTGTTACTTGGTGACAACAGCAGCAATGCCCTTTCCCCCCCCCCACTCTCTCCTTTGTCTCGCAGATGACCGTGGAAGCTGGGAGGTCGCACCTTGCCACCACCACGAGTGTGTGATGGTGTGATCGATTCGAAGAATAATCTGCAAAAGTTTTTTTCTCTTCCGTTAAAGTTTTCTTTCTCAGTGTTCGTTCATTTTTACAACTTTAAACCCAAGTGTAAAAGATTGGTTTTTTTTCTTCTCTGGTTCAGTTTGTGTAACTTCGGAAATAACACAAATAAAATACGTAACTTCAGTCGGTGAGCCACCACTTTATGGTTTGAACGTTTCCTTGTTTCAAGTCACATTTTTCATTGGTTCACAACTTCAAAGGGGGGGGGGCAACAACCTTGGCCCAACACCACAAACAAACACACAGCGGCATTGTTCATTCCCATTCTCTTCAAGCACAACAAAGTGTCTTAACGTTGGGGGGAGGGGGAAGCCTTGCGCATACAGTATTTAACTCACGAATGACATGGCTTGGCAGGGAGAAAAAACTGAATTCACAAGAGCGTGCAATAACTTGTGCGGGGGGAAAGCAGCTGCTTTACCTGTGGCTACGTCTGATATTATTTTCCCGTTTAAGCACCCACCCAAGCGGCGGCAGGGTGGGGGAAACCACGTCTAATGAAATCCATTGCAGACCGCAAGAAATGTGTTTTACGTTTTCACCTTAGGACCCCCCAAAGGTTTATCGCAGACAGCGAAATAAATACAAACGAGTGGTCAGGGAGGCTTGTCTTAACAAGCTGTGTCAGGCAGGTTTAAATGTTAAACCGCGCCCGTCCGGTTTACAGAGGCAGCTGGAAATTTACATCCACGTTGGCTTGTCTGGCGATGGACACGATCTCGGACAACTTGACAACCTGCGAAGTCAAAAGGGGGAGCAGGTCAAACACGGGTGTGGATTGTCGCTGGAGCCGTCTGAACCACCGCCCTCCTCCAGAGCCCACATCCGCTGCGCCCTCGACACGAGAGCTCCAAGATCTGCCCGAATCGTATCCTCACAAACGTCTCCCCGTGGTTGAAGGAGTTTTTGGAAACCATTCCAATACCCGTCTTGCTCTCCCCTTCCCCCCCATCCTGTACACAACGTGTCTTACCCGGTGCAACATTTTTTTTGCCTCAATCTATCTACAACACTCGTATGTATGTTGAACTTCTTTCGCACCATCGTACGTAGCCAACCGTGCTAATCGGAGGTGCGCAGCAGGGGGGGGGGGGGAGCACAACAAACTAGACACAAAGCAACTGCGACGTTCTTTTGCAGACTTGTGCTGCATTGCTTCTCCTGTCTTGCCACGACATTACCAACATCTATCGCTGACGAATATGTACTCAAATGCCGAGTATAGCTCTTTGATCGAAACAGTAATAGGGACATAGCACTCCCATATAAAATACCTTTTGAATTAAATGAAACACCGGGAACATTCGATTTTAGGCCATGCTCAGAAGCAAAACATCATTGACTGATTGTGACGAAATGAAAAACCGCACCTCCGATTAGCACGGTTGGCTACGTACGGTGCAAAAGAAGTTCAACGTACGACCATTTACAATCACGGCTTGAGGGTGGAGGTTTTTTTTTGCTGGATTATTTAAAAATGATCACACAAGCACACCAATACAACTTCTGTAAACAATCGCTTGCGGAAGAAAATCGTCCGGCTCGCGTAAACCGCGCCCGCAAACGAACGGGGCAAGCGAACGGTTAATTAACGCGTGCGTGCGTACGCACGCGCGTATATATAATCGCACGCAACGGCGTTCCCGCAAAAAATTCCGAGACAGATGCGCTCAGCCGCACAGCAGGTGCCGAAACACAATCTCTGAGATGGAGGAAGAGGAGGCGGGGGGCAATAAGTAAACAAACTGCGGGTGGAATCGAAGGAGCCAAGATAGCGACGTTAGCAGCATAATCCATTTACAAACGGGACCCCCCCCCCTCACCCCTTCCTTACGCCAAAACGAGTTTGTGCCCTGCCACTCCAATACATTTGCTTCTCCCCCCACCTCTCTCGTTCAAGGTATCGATACGCTCGACTGCGCGAGGGCGTTCGTGTTTTCGTGAACGGTCTCGCGGACGTCGGCGCTTGCGTACAGCGGCGAAAGTACAGCGGGGGATGCTGCTCTGGGAGCAAATGAGAAGTTGCAGTTGGGATCGACCCCCCCGGCCAACTGGGGAGAACCTCGCGGCAGATGAGAGGCTTCTGGCCGAGCAAAGCTACGCGAAGGAATAAAGACGACGGCCCCTTTTGAAGAAGAGATGAGAATCTTTCGCCATCTACAACTCAAGAAAAGAATAGCGACGACGGAAAAATAAAAACCACAACCACGTGCAACTGGGTGGTAAGCGGGCAGTACGTAGTGTATACCGATGTAATGTGTGTATAACATAGGTTGTGTGTGTAAAGTATCTATATGTTATACAAATTAAAGTGTCCGTTCCGTATACAAATCCCAAACAGGTTAAAGCTATTGCCGCCACCAAACTTTGCAGGGTTACCTTTTAAAACCCCACTGAAAACCTGAGAGCGACGTGACGGAGGAGCCATCCAAACGGCACCCCCACACGCTCCCAGCAACGTCACCATCCCTAACCCAGCACATGATTAACCTGACCCCGCACATCTGTAACAGCTACGATTACAATTAACAACGGTCAACCTCCGTGAGCATGCCCGGCGTCTTTCTGTGGCGAGACAAACGGCACGGCATAATTCACGCTTCAATAAAACGAAATCTTCGCTGGCCGTAAGTTCCCGGGCAACGCCGGGGTATATCCTGCTAGTATGTTATACACGTGTGTCAGTGTGTGTGTGTGTGTACCGTACGTAGCCAACCGTGCTAATTGGAAGCTGCGATACTTATGCCCCATGTTGTCGACGGTTCAATGTTAACGTGCCATCCGTTATTAATGGACTACTGCTGTGTGTGGTGTAACCTCGGTGTGGTCTGGGACCGTTTGGTTGTTTCTGTTGCTTGCCCAAGATTGATAAAGCGGACATTGTACATGCTGCTTCAAAAAAATGTTAACACTTAAATGGGGTTATCATTTTTAAGGGGAAAACAATGGATAAATAAAATACACTGTAACGTGATAACAAATGTGATGTTAATAGCTTAAAAAAAGTCAGAGTCTTCCACTTGTTCGCCATCATTGTCAACACGTGCCTGGGATCTTCTCCAGAGCCCGGAGGGCGGCACACTTCTCGTATTGTTGGAAATTCTCTGAAGTGTTAACATTTTTTTTAAGCACCCTGTGTAATGAACGTGTTTAATATTTTGATTTAAAGCTTTCGTGACTGCAGTAATTCATATTCTTAGTTTTTTCGGTAAAGTCACGTTGAAGAGAAACAACAAAGTAACAAAATATATATAAAACAATAAAAAATTCTCACGACGTTTCGACCATGATGACCGTTTGAGTTATGGTCGAAACGTCGTGAGAATTTTTTATTGTTTTATATATATTTTGTTACTTTGTTGTTTCTCTTCAACGTGACTTTACCGAAAAAACTAAGAATATGTTTAATATTTATTTATGTTTAGTGACTTGCTTCCCCATCTCTCTATTTTGCACTCCCGTTGTGTTTTTTGTATCGTTTGCTGTCGTAAGTTGCTTACAGCGCCCATACTGGACTTGTGTGAAAGAGCTTCATTGCTCATTGGATTCCTCCTTCAGTCTAAAGTGAAAAGATTCTCATAAAGATTCTGAAGCCGTTGCCAGTCCCCCGTAAACGGGTCTCTACGGACGGCAGAAAACCCGGTGAAAAAGTGGGAAACAAACGACGATGGAGGAGGAGAAATGGAGCAGAACAGACAGAGCAGAAGAGACGGAGGAGGAGAGACAGAGGAGAGACGGAGGAGGAGAGACGGAGGAGGAGAAATGGAGCAGAAGAGACAGAGCAGAAGAGACGGAGGAGAGACGGAGGAGAGACGGAGGAGGAGAGACGGAGGAGGAGAGACGGAGGAGGAGGAGAGACGGAGGAGATGAGGAGGAGATGAGGAGGAGGAGGAGATACGGAGGAGGAGGAGAGACGGAGGAGGAGGAGAGACGGAGGAGGAGGAGAGACGGAGGAGGAGGAGAGACGGAGCGTTTCCTCACCATTTTAGCAGCTTCGTCCAGGTCGTCGCATGCCAGAATCTTCAGGCTGCTCGCCGCAATGATAGCCTTGGCGTCGTCCACTTGAGTTCCTGTGACATTGACCGAGTGGAGAATGGCACGCGCCCCATGTGAAGCACTCCCGCTGTCTCCCGCTCCCCCGGCGGCCGATTATTATCGCACGGGAATTTTGAATCCGTACTAAATTGTCGCGTACGGACAGTTGCAATTCACCACAACTATGTGTGGTTAATGCAGACATGGTTCCTTGCAAAAGATTTCAGTTTGATGTTCTAACATCTTAACACAACTGCTTTATTTCCAGAAAGGGTCAAACCTATTGTTATAGCTATCATAGAGTGGCGGTCGTGTCGCGACAGTTTTTCTCCGGTGAGTACACTTGTCTTTAATTACAAAGGCGCAACTCCGCCTCTCCAAGTAAAATTAACGCTAACCGCTGGCGCATCCCGAGATTCAGCGGTGGACTTGCAGACGTCTCGGAACAGGAAAGGGGTTTTACGTTATTCCAAACAAATTTCAAACATATTTGGCGAGGGAATTTTTCGACCAAAATCATGTTAAACCAAAACCGCACCCATTTTCGCTTTTGATTATCCCCTTCCAACCGGAGTTTTAACGTTCAGTCGTCGATGTGAATCGCACGCGGCCCGAGAAGTCGCGTACCTTGCAAGCGAACGACGATTGGCACTCGCAGGTTGAGCTCCTTGGCTGCGGCGATGATGCCCTGCGCGATGATGTCGCAGCGCATGATCCCGCCGAAGATGTTCACCAGAATGGCCTGGACCTACGGGAGCCAAGGGTTAGGGTTGTGTGGGGGGGGGGGGGGGGGGGGGATGTGGGGAAAAAGTCACGGCAAGTTCAATTTGTTTGACCGGGTGACAACTCCACAGACCGGGATGGTCTAATTTTGCAAGAGTGACTCTGGGTAACGAGGCATGAACGTCGCGTGGCCGGGCGGCTGCAGGTTCCATACGAACCCCTTGCATAGGAGCCACGGCCAATCCACTGCTGGATGAAGGCCTCCAAGCTGGCATTATTCAGAGGTTGGGTTCATTTGTAGCGTAATGTACCCACGACGATTAAACGTTGCAAGTCCTTAACAAATGTTTAACGCCACCGAGTACTTCGACACCCAAGTCTCCGCGATCGCGTCGAATCCGGATACATTCTTGACGTCATCATCGTCGTCATCGTCATCCGTGACCGATCCACTGCTGGATGAAGAAGACCTCCCCCCTCCCCTCCCCTCCCCATCGCAAAATCTCACGGGTCCCGCAACGTAACGATCCGCCTAGCAGCTGCGCAATGCGCTCGACTTCGCAGTTCCATCTCGACGGTCGGATCTCCTCCCGGGACGAGTCTCCCTCCCCTTTGGGCTGCCGCACCGTCGTTAATTCTCGGACCGCGAACCGTCGTCGCTTGCGGCGACGCGTCTGCCCCAGGCCCACTAGTCTTGGCAGTCGATGTCACGCGTTTAGGCGCACGTGTTCTGTGTTGACGTGTGTTTAAAAAAAAAAGCCTTGGTGAAGAAACAAAAACCGCGCGAGTGCTTTCCGGCCCGATGCGCTGACGCGCGCTCTCGTGGAGCGGTCGACGATTAAAGACGTGGACGCGTCGGGTCGAGCGAACGGCAAGGTGATGCACACACGAACAGAACACATTCAGAATCGACGTCGCGCGTTTATTTGGCTGCTGCTGTAAATTTCCGCACGGTGGATAAGCCACTTCGTTGAGCTATCGTTTGTGGCCGAAATAGCTCAGTGGGCCTCAACTGGTAAAATAAAAAAAAAACGTAGTCTAGATTTGAAGCTTTCGAATTAGTGGAGGGGGGATTCTCATTCCGGAAGAGATGGAGGTCGTACAACTCCCTTCGACATCCTAAAAGCAGAGATTCTTTACTTAAAACTTTCGTGACTGCAGGAATCCATACTCTCTGGTTCTTTCGGTAAAGTCACGTATTTTATACCTACGTGACTTTACCGAAAGAACCAAAGAGTATGTAATGTAGTTTAACACTTAATAGTCGAAGCCACTTAGTAGTGGTTTTAAGCATAAGCATGGAGAGTATGTAACATCATTTTAAAGATTAAAGGTTGATTAGACCATCCAACGTTCTCATGGGGAACGAGATGACGGTCTTCAGTTAATCACGCAGTTAATTAAAAATGTATATTTCAATTGTCCTGATGTCAAGTTTCCATTCAGAATTCTCAAGGAAGCGGTGACAAGAGTAGAATCTCTTATCTGCAACTGGAGAAAAGTGACAAAACAGCTGATGGACGAAACAACCAGACCCACAGTCATCCTCGTGTTAAAAGTTGACAGCCCTTTGTCACTCCACTGCTGGATGAGGGCCTCTTTGCAATGTCAATCCACAGGGGTTTGCCTTTGAACCTACGTCACCATGCCGGTCATTGCGGGTCAGTGCAAGACCATTTCGAATACATCGCGCGTCATTCATTGTTAGCCGTGACCTGATCAGAACTTGACCTTGTAACCTCAGGATCACGTGCCCCTTAACCAGTGCCATCTGGTCAGTCCGCACGGGAGTGCAAAGCAAATTATGTTTGTTCACATTAGACGGCGCTCATTAACCGCGAGTGGTTCATTGATTGCGGCATCGATGCCCGAACCGCCGAGTCGACGTTAATTCCTAGCTTCGAAGAGACAAACGGCTCTCATAGACGTGTGGGCGGGGGGGGGGGAGAGGCTGTGTGATCCAGGCTGTCCCGCAACGAACTCTGAAGCTTCATTACTGAGAAGAAGAAAAAAATAATTCTGCTCGTGGTCAGGCGTGCGATTGTCGAGCGGTCCGGGTGGTCTCATTACACCGACGATCGGAATCGTACTGAAGTGGCAGTCACGGCGACGATCATTAAAATCGCTTTAATAGCGCATCGGAGGGTAATGAAGCGAGGCTTCAAACCCATGCAGGACACAGGCCTAGAGATACGCCTCTGGTCTCGTCTGTGGCTCACTCGCTTTTTGTTGTTGTGGTCGGGTTGTCGCATCATGTTTAAACACCACGCGTGTTGTTGCGCGACCGTACGCACACACGCGCCTGCACGACATTAGCACAGCGGTCGGCGCGCGCTTCACACTGCGACCCCACCCCACCCGCCCCCCCCCCACTCACCCCAATCACCCCCCCCACCACACCCCCCAACCCCCCGCCGCCCCCCCCGCCCAGCGACATCGGGTTACATTCCTAACACGCAAAACGTCGCCCCCGAATCATCCGAATCTTAATCCCGCCCGGGCGTCTTCCCCCGACGTCGCGAGCAGCGGCCGCACCTTGGAGTCGGAGGTGATGAGCTTGAAGGCCTCCGTCACCTGCTGCGCCGTGGCCCCGCCGCCCACGTCGAGGAAGTTGGCCGGCAGCCCGCCGTGCAGCTTGATGATGTCCATCGTGGCCATGGCCAGGCCAGCGCCGTTCACTGCGACGACAAACGGCGGCGCTCTCGTTGGGGGTCACCAATTAGGGGGGCCGTCGCGGTGGCCGGATGTTTGGGGTAGTGATAGGAGATGTTAACTACCTCGCCTGGTATACAGGAGGTCGTGGGGTCGATCCTGACCAGGACACCTGCTGTATCTTTGGAGTCTGCGTGTCTCTCATCATCATCACGGTGGTGCGGAGATGTTAACTACCTCCTATGGTATACAGGAGGTCGTGGGTTCGATCCCGACCATGACACCTGCTGTGTATTTGGAGTTTGCGTGTTCTCCCCGTGGTTGTGCGTTTTTTTTTTTTCCTCCAATTTTTACCCTCCACATTTCGAATCGACGTGCGCTTTAGATTATTTACAGTATTTGGCCGCTGTAAATTTCCACACGACGACAAGCCCACTTCGTTGACCTATCATTTGTGGCCAGGTCGCTTCCGAAAATGAACTATACAGCTCAGTAGGCCTTATTTGGTCAAATATATATGTTGCACTTTTTTTGCATCGTACGTAGCTAACCGTGCTAATCGGTAGGTGCGGGAGCGCGGGAGGGGAATGACAACAAACTGAACGCACAGTCAAAAAGTAGACTCGTGTGTTGCGGTCGGGTCGTGGCAAATATTTGCGTGCTTGTGCCACATTCAAGGACCCGGGATTGAAACGGCAACAAAAAGCAGTCCTAAACAAATGAGTTCTCAATCTAGATTTTAAAGTGCATAGCTACCAGTGGCTTCCTAATAATAATAATAACAATTAGTAGTCGTCGTAGTCAATAGTTACCGAGGCAGCCGATGTTGCCGTCGAGACCGATGTAGTTGAGGTTGGCCTGCGCTGCCTGCACGTCACGGGCGTCCTCCTGGCTCCAGTCGCGCATGGAGAAGACGCGTTCCTGCCGGTACGCCGCGTTGGCGTCGAAGTTGATCTTCGCGTCCATGCACATGACTGTCAGCCACGCGGCGGGGGGAGGGAGACGAGACAGAGATCCCCCTACGTCACAAGTTGATCTTCGCGTCCATCCACGAGGGGTAGTGATATGGGCAGTGATAGTGATGGGACCTCGCTGGGGGGGGGCAGGGAGTAGCAGTAGCAGGATGATGACGATGATGCTTGGCTAGGGGAGGAGAGATGAAGGTTGGTTTTAAGGGAAGAACGTTAAGCAGGTTCAAGTTAAGATGGTTGCTTCATATGCAGGGCGGCATAGCGACCGCCCCTTCGCGAGGCTAATCGTGGTTGATGATGGCGATGGTGGCGATGACGGCAGGCGGCTGCGTAGGGTTGATCGGAGGCAGCGCGAACCTGCCCCAGACGAGTCCTCCACCATGGGGTTGATCTCGATCATGCTGGCGTCATACTTCATGAACACGCCGTACAGCTTCATCATGAGCTCGGCCGCGTCGTTCAAAAGCTCGTCGGGGAAGCCGATCTTCTGGGCCACCTGCCGAGCGTACGGGGTCGAGGGGGAAGGGTGACGGGAGAGTGGAGAAAGACGACAACGAAAAAAAGCGCTTTTTTTTTTTTATTTGAACGTTCTTCAGTTGCTGAAGAAGAAGCTCCCGGCGCGCGGGGTGAAATGTCGCGACATCGCGCCGAGCAACACGTGGGTTCGACCCAAACGTACACTGCGGGAGTATTTTAAATCACGTCACACTCTGCGAAGAGATTCAAAAAGTTTTGCTCGCTGGGCACGCAAGCGGACGGCGCCGGCGGCGTCGCCGCGCTCCCCGTCACGCCTCCCCTCCGCTCACCTCCGATTCAGCGAGGTTGGCCATGTCCGGTGCGAAATGTAGTTCAGCGCACGTAACGCACATCCCGCATATCGATTCCACGCACAAGCGCACGCGGCGTTAAGTCATTTCCCATGAACCCCCCTCCCCTCCCCCGCCGCCTCTCGTCCTTCGAAAAATCAACGCCGCCCGTCGTCTTCATAACCATCACCACGGAGCCACGATCTATCCGCTGCCGCATGAAGGCCGTCTCACCGTTCCTACGCCCCCCGCGGTGCCGCCACTCACCCGCAGGGCCTGCTCGTGGTTGATGCCCTCCATGATGTCGATGGGCTCCTTGACGATGGCGTCGGGGTTTTCGGCCGCGACGTCCTCGATGTTGACGCCGCCGTGGGAGCTGCCGATGATCACCGGGCCCTGCGGCGTCGCGTGCGGTGCGGAGAGCGGTGGCGGAGCGGTCAGCGTGTCGCGCTACGAACCCGGCAACCCGGGTTCGATTCCCGCTCGCGGCCACCAACGCCAGTGACGATTATCTGAACTCGTCCTGGGCCCTCCCCTAGGTCGACTCGGCCTCAAATGGTTCAGTGTGTAAACATCGCCCTCGTGTGCTGTGCCGGCTTGCTAACAGTGCTTACTCCTACAGTCTGTTAAAGGCCATATTGGGGATCTGTCTTTTGCGTGCATACAGACACATGTGGTACACATCTGCCAGTCATCTCAGTCAAGTCAACCCATGGCACCTGGGTCTGTCCAGTGACCTCCTGCCAGCCAACCTTTGACACATCACGTGGCCTCGGAGTGCACCTAGCCTGGCACAAGCGCCACGGTGACGTCACCACAACTTAGTGGCGAATGGCGGCTGTTATTGTTGCAGATAGACAAAGAGACCGTGTCCGTCTAGGCCTAACAGACGTTGCGTCTGCTTGAAGGTCGGCACGTGGCCGAGCAGTAGAGCGCAATTGCCGCCTGCCGCAGAGGTTTCACGGTTTGAGCCCAGCAGCCGCACTGGCTAATGCCATGCATGCCCTGGCAAAAAAAGAGTACACTCTATTACATGTCGCTCTGCATCTACATCAGCCATACTAAAGGAGAAGTGGATGTTAAAGATCCACAGTGGATGTTAAGGAACCTGCGATGTTGTTTGATCAAGGGTAAGCCATTGTGTGCCACCATCACAGTCCAATTTTGCGAATTTAGAAAATTACAAATTACTTATTTGAGTGAATCAGCCAAAATAGCAATATCGCCCCCCAATAGCCAAACCACTGTAGACAATAATAGTCTGCGAAACATAGCGTGCGCCTATGCCAGGGGTGGAGAACGTCCGGCCCACAGGCCGTAAAAGGCCCGCAAAATCATTTGGTGTGGCCCTGCCAAGGCAACCGCAGGCGGGACTCGAAATTCAATCAATCTAGGCGCAAACCTGAAAAAGCAGTTGCGAGTAGCAACATCATCAATACCAGCTAACATCATCACACGCCTCGCCAAAGAGAAGCAGTTCCAGCCATCACATAAGGGGGGAGTTAATTAAATGTTTGACTAAATATAACGGGCTAATTTTTAAGTTGATAATTTTGTATGGCCCGTGAATGATGTTATATTAATATCCAAATGGCCCTCGGCAGAAAAATGCTTCCCCACCCCTGGCCTATGCAATCGAATTCCAAACGGGCTCATCATCTTTATTCGGTACTTATTCCGTGCCTGTAATAATCCGCGGGTAGCGGTAACTGTGAGGCTTAGGGGGGAGCCAACGGCGTGGCAGTGACACGGCGCAGGCACCACTGAGATCGCGGCGTTTGAATCGGTGCAGCCACCCGACAGTGTGGGATGTTGTATTGCCAAAAAGGGTAAAATCTATTCTTATTTTTCATACTTTGATACTGGGAAAAAAGTATCCCACGATGTAACTGCTGCTTACCCCGAGCTATAAACGCTCTGACATGTGTGGCATTGTCCTTGTACTGTTCGCCTTCTGGCGTTGTTCTGTGGTCTGACACTGGTGGTGAGACCGGGCCATAAGGTAGACTACCGTCTCTGGTGTAGGCCAATAAGTTTCAAAGTCAACGCATCAAATATTATGAGAGCCACGTGTTTTGTTTGCATGTTCACCACAAAGCACCGTGAGTGGTTAATGCAGTAACTTGATTCCTTGCAAAAGGTTTATATCTGGTGTTTGAACCTCTTCACACCCCCCTGATTCTTATTTTTCAACGTAAAAGTTGGGTTGAACTTAAAGTCAGAAACATTTCAGCTCGGAGAACTTTATATATATTGGTTTTGATTGACATACGGCGAGCACTTGTCCAGCAAGGAAAGCGAGGCGATGCGGTGCCGTCCCTCGTGCGGATAAGAGGTTTGAAACGGAGGAGACCTCGGGAGTAGTTCTGTGGCAGAACCTTCCAGACGACGTTCTCTACCGTTCGGTGACGTCACACTGCTGTTTTTTTGTTGTTGCGAGATTTCCCAAATGGGATGACTTCTTTGTCTCATCCATAATACCGTTCATTTGGGTTAGATCACGTAAATATATAAACGCGTCGTTAAACCCGCCACCCCCCCGACACAGCCAATTTAGCGAGGTTGGTCATGTAAACAGAACGTGCCAAAGCCACAACATCTACAATCCGCGTACGACGTTTCGCCAGTATTACAACTAGCTGCATCAGGCGACAGACAGATTTGTGGAGAAATCCTCCTGTTTCGTTCCTTAGAGAGGTAGATGTGATGGCATCACTTGTGAGCCCTTCTTGAGTGAAGTGGTGGGGGGGGGGGTTATGGGGGGTTAATGAATGCATATAAATGACAATTTAGTATCCATTACCGGTTGGGTTATGTACATGGTAATAAACGTACGTTATGCAAGCGCATTGTGTACATCCTGTCTATTGTGCACTAAAATAGCTGTTATTGTTCAGCGGTAATCCCTATTGAAGAATGGTGACCTGTATAGGCATGCGTTTAAACAATGTATCATTCGATGATTCGCTTCCAAGCAGCACTAAGTCTGTAGCCATCCAAAGGGTTACAATTATTTTTATTTCTCTCAATTTCGATAGATTCTCCAATTAGTCTTGGCCAGTAGCAACTCGCTTTGCACAGAACTTCACAATTATCAAAATCAATTGAGTGTCCTTGTTGGCACGTGTGTTCTGTCCCTGCCACTTCTTTGTCTCATTCGTTAAAAAAAATAAAAACCGAAACAATGTTGGTAAAAAGAGACGAAAAAAAAACACCGTCTTAAAAGATACTGGGGGTGTCAATTCCCATGCATTGCCTCCAATAAATAGCTCCGTTCGATAAAATACTTTTGGGGAAGGAAAAAAAACGTGTCTGCAAAAAAAACCACACATCTGGACGGACGAAAGAAACGACGGTGTGAAAGCACCGTCCCTCGACGCCGCGTCGAGTCGTGTCGTACGAAGGGGCCACACCTGGAAGGCTCTCTCGAGCGCGATGGCGAAGTAGTACTCGCGGCGCGGGTAACGGCGCTCGCAGATGAACACGTGGTTACAGATGCGCCCCTTCTCGCCCGTCTGCTTCGTGTACAGCTTCTTGCCGAGCATGCGGCTCGCCAGGTCCCGCGCTTCCTCGGGCCTGACGATCGTACGCACGGCATCGCACACGCTCGGCATCGCACGGCGAGCACGCTCGGCATCGCACAGCGAGCACGCTCGGCATCGCACAGCGAACACGCTCGGCATCGCACAGCGAGCACGCACGGCATCGCACAGCGAACACGCTCGGCATCGCACGGCGAGCACGCCCGGCATCGCACGGCGAACACGCTCGGCATCGCACACGCTCGGCATCGCACGGCGAACACGCTCGGCATCGCACAGCGAACACGCTCGGCATCGCACAGCGAGCACGCCCGGCATCGCACAGCGAACACGCCCGGCAACGCACAGCGAGCACGCCCGGCATCGCACAGCGAACACGCTCGGCATCGCACAGCGAACACGCCCGGCAACGCACAGCGAGCACGCCCGGCATCGCACAGCAAACACGCCCGGCATCGCACAGCGAACACGCCCGGCAACGCACAGCGAGCACGCCCGGCATCGCACAGCGAACACGCCTGGCAACGCACAGCGAGCACGCTCGGCAACGCACAGCGAACACGCACGGCATCGCACAGCGAACACGCACGGCATCGCACAGCGAACACGCTCGGCATCGCACAGCGAGCACGCCCGGCATCGCACACGCGCAGGTTGCGCGCGCGGTAAACCCACACGAAAGACGCACGACGCGCGTAGCGATGTACGCGGCGACCGACACTTTCGCTGAGCGGGTCAAATTGTTACAGGGTGAAAATTATCTGAACGTCGGCAAAAAATCCAAAAAATCTGTCGCCCATCAGTTTTTTTTTTCTAAATCCCCAATTCATCTCTGCGACAAGGCGCACAACCGCAAGACAGGGCGCGTTTGTGCTTCTTGGGACGTGTTCGACGATACGGCTTCCCACCACGTGCCACGTTTGAAACATTGCCGCCGCCCCCCACCACCCCACCCCCCACGTGCATCTCGGACAACCTTGAGAAGCCGTTGGTAAGCAAGTGTCCGGCTAAGCGGGTCGGTTCGTCGTGCCCGCGTCGGAGAACGCCTCCGTCGCGCCTGCGCATCTCAAGTCGATCTCGGCTCGACGCTCGTCGTTGTGCAAGCCCGCGACGAGGTTCGTCCTCTCCGACAAACTGCCCCTCTCGTGGCCGCGTCGTTCCTTTTTTTTCCCCCATAATTCTCAACGGGGGTACAGCGTCCGTTTGGTCCGTTGGCGTAATAATAACGTCCGAATCAGAACTCGCGAAATGCACGCCGCAAAAGTTTGGCTTACGCATCCGCATAATTTTCTTCTCTATCGAGTTAACAAATGCTGGTCTTCGCTGGGAGGGAGGCGGTTTGACGCGATGCTGGCAAAAGCGATCGTGGAGGGAGAATGCCCTCTAGCGGACAATGTCTTACAACAGCAACTGGCAAACTCATTCACCCCATCCCTTGTTTAAAATAAATATAGATCGTCGATGATCCGGCATATTTGGGGGGGAAGGGGGGTCGCCGGATTACCAAAATTGGGGGGGAAGGGGGGCTCCGGATGACCAAAAACGCCGGATAATCACTGCTAATCGTTATTTAAAATTGCACATTTTTGCACATTCTTGTATAACATGTTTTTAGGTGTTGTGTGTATGTTTTTTTGAGCGTTTTAAATTGGTTGACTATATGAAATTGGCATAAACATGCAAATAGACAAAAATAAATATTCTACTGTAAAAAGTTACCGTGTTCACTGTACCGTACTTGCCACTCCAATCGCGAAGACTCTGCATCATGGGGTAATGTACGTAGTACTACTACGCTCTTGTTTCAACAACACGTGTTGATGATCGCCGGACTGATGCAGCCTTTAGACCGGTGCTCCAGTGGTTGTTAGTCATGAAAAATGTATATAAGTGCAGTATTTTCATTGTTTAAGTTGTTGTATGTAGTGTATAACGTACTGTATATAATATTTGACCCTGAAATTTCAGTTTCTTTATTTTGGTATAGCCCTGTGAGCCATTCGGCGATTTGGGTGATACTTTTCTTTGTCACGTACATGGTGCCGATCGCCGGACTGAGTACAGCCTTTGGAGCAGTTTTGCCGGATCAGCCAGGGACCGGCAGATAATGTTGGAAGCCGGATAATTGCTTTCCGGATAATCGATGATTAACTGTATCATGATTCAGGGTGTGATTTCGGTTGAAACGTCTTTTTTTATTCAAATTTCTTCTTTCTCACTTGTACTGATTTTCTGTCTAAGTAGCGCAGTTTCGTTTGCTTCGTGTGAATGTCATATATAATTAATTTCTCAAACTGCATGAAGCGACCATCTGTGAAAAACTGTGAAAAAGAGCTTCATAGCTCGTCGAATTTCCTCCAGTCTTAAGTAATCAATGAATGGACCCATCTCTCTTGTTAACTCAAATTAAGCTAACCAATCGAACCTCGGCAACAACCTTACACCTAACCCTACTCCTCACCCCAACCCATCCACGCTTAAGCCCCCGGGGCATTGCATTTCCCTTTCTGTTTTGACGTTCGTTTGCACATTTTTACTCACGAGTAGACGATCTTGACCCCACCGCGAAGGCCGCCCTCAAACACTCCCTTTCCTCGTCCCCCGGCTAGCACCTGGGCCTTCACCACCAGGTCTGTGGAGCCTGCAGAGGTCACACAAGGAGTCACACAGGGGTCACACAGGGGTCACACAGGGATCACGGACATCAGTAATCGCTGTTGAGAGCTGAGGCCGCACACCAATGAAAGGGGCAGACAGCACGCGGTGGTCGTCATTATATTTAAGCAGAATACCATTCTGCGCGGCGGAGTTTCGCAAAGGTTGCCAAATAAAAATGTTCGTTTGTTCGTTCCTCAGTCCGCTCGTCCTGGTGAGGGTCGCGGCGGCAGCGTGTTGAGTAGTGGCGGTCCCACACCTCCATCTCCCTGGCCACAGACTCTAGCACTACATTATTATATACGACTACACTATACACTACTATACTATAATACAATACTATAGCCTACTACACTACTATACACGACTACACACAGACTCTAGCTCTTCCTGGGGAATTCCCAGGCGTTCCCAAGGCAGCCGAGCGACATAGTCCCACCGCTAGCGTATCTCGGGCCGGCCCCGGGATCTTCACCCAAAATGTATACTTTGTGAACTTATGTATGGCAAGCAATGCAATTGGGCGGTGACTTACGGAGACCTTCATCCTGCAATGGACAACAAAAATGCAGCAAAGCATGTTCTGATAAAATGTTAAAAAAAAAAGCTCGTTTTGATAAAAACATCAACAAATATGTTGAGCTATTTATTTTACGCCAAGTGAATGTACGATAACACGCATCGTTACTGCAGGTCGCATCCCCGTCTGTTTTTCTTTTAAATCGAAGAATTCAAAACGAAATGCTGAAACAAACGCTCACGTCGTAGGACAAACACGGCCCCGCGCGAAAACAACAAAATAAGCAATCGGAAGCATTTCAAGGTTTAAAAAATCTGGTTTGATTTCGGCGATGGGAACAAAGTCGGATGAAAGCCAAGGCTTACAAACACTACACAGAACGATATGAAAAATGTTCGTATGAGCAAACACCAAACCATGGACGCCAGATCACTACCGTAACTGCAGTTCTCAACTGGCCTCAACGAGTCTGCATTTTACTTGCCAGCGGCTGCCTCCGGCCATCGCACTCCGCTCTCCTCTCTGCATTCTTGGCTCCCCCCACAATGAGGTTTCACTCTTCTCGTCTTGGCCCAATGGAGCATTGCTCCTTCACCCCTGCTGTCTCCACTGTCTATAAACTCCTTCACCCCTTCTGTCTATAACTCCTTCATCCCAGCTGTCTCCACTGTCTATACACTCCTTCACCCTACTGTCTCCACTGTCTATAAACTCCTTCACCCTGCTGTCTCCACTGTCTATAAACTCCTTCACCCTGCTGTCTCCACTGTCTATAAACTCCTTCACCCCTGCTGTCTCCACTGTCTATAAACTCCTTCACCCCTGCTGTCTCCACTGTCTATAACTCCTTCACCCTGCTGTCTCCACTGTCTATAAACTCCTTCACCCCTGCTGTCTCCACTGTCTATAACTCCTTCACCCTGCTGTCTCCACTGTCTATAACTCCTTCACCCCCGCTGTCTCCACTGTCTATAACTCCTTCACCCTGCTGTCTCCACTGTCTGTAACTCCTTCACCCTGCTGTCTCCACTGTCTATAAACTCCTTCACCCCTGCTGTCTCCATTGTCTATAACTCCTTCACCCCTGCCGCTGCTGCTGCTGCTGCTGCGAGGACGTTATCACTGCATTGTGGGGGGGTTTTCTTTCTTCCTCTAAAATATTAGTCACCCGTGTTCCAAGCCACTTCCCCGTTTCGAGATCACCCCACTCCACAGTCGAGGTAATTCCCCATCATAAGAGGTTTTTGAGTTAGATCGCGTAAATATACGTCGTTAAAACCCGCCACCCACCGACACAGCCAACGAGTAAGGCTTGGCTCTCCAACACACCGATTAGTGCTGTACTAGTGACGAATTGGCCACGTTCTGTTTACGTGACAACCCTTACTAGTTGGCTGTGTCGGGTGGTGGCGGGTTTTAACGACACATTTATATATTTACGTGATCTAACCCAAAAACCTCTATTATGGATGATATTAGTCGCGAAAGCCTACGTGTTAAACTGTAATTCCCCTTGTTTGTGGGATAATGTCTCGAAATACAAGCGCATTCAAACTCTTTGTAGATGCAAACTACATCCCGGTATAGCGCATGCTATTTCAGAGCTCACCACTAATTTTTCATAGCCAAGCAATCTTCAGGCCTCCTTTTTCGCAAATGGGATGCGAGGCGATTCCCTGAGAGTGGTCCGACGTTCGAGGACGAGTGACCAAAACTGATATTCGGAACACAAATCGGTTACCGTCGCTTAGGGTGTCATCGTTTACGCGGTATGAGCTCTCTCCGATGTGTTTTTGCGGGATCGTACCGTGTGTCGCTTGCCAGGTGCAGCGAAACATCGGACATAGCGCTGAACGGGAGGCCACAACAACCTTGGAAGATGCATCGGAGGGCTATGGATATAATTATCACATTACAAATACGACGACGACTTATATATCCTTGACAGAGTTGACCGGGACCTCGTCCTACGCAACCACGGCGTGCCTCACCCATGCCCTTGGCCACCTTGTAGGCCTCCTCGACGGAGGTGGCCACCGTGCCCTTGGGCACCTTGACCCCGGCCTCCTGCAGCAGCTCCATGCTCATGTACTCGTGCAGGGACAGCTGCCGCCGCTGCTGCGGCTGATGCGGCTGCTGATGCAGGATGGGCGCCCCCATGACCTGAAGAAGCGAGCACACGACAAACGGCATCAACAACGTGACCGCCGTCGCAGCCGTCACCAGCGTCAGCGCCGTCACAGCCGTCAGCAACATCACCACAGTCAACATCACCACCGTCACCACCATCAGCAAAGTCACCAACGTGGTCACCGCCGTCACCGCTGTCAGCAACGTCACCACCATCACAGCCATCACTACCATGACCACCTACACCAGCGTCAGCAATATCACCACCGTCACAGACCCACTTGCCAAAGGTTCTGTTCCCACCACAGCAGCCTGGCAACTTGAATTACCAAAGACTGTTGTTCGATATTAAGTAGATGTGCAGGGTCCTGTAACACGCAGGTGTGGCCAGGTGGCTGAGATCCTGGGTTCAAATTCAGGCCACCGAACGCCTGTTGAACCAGGTTCCAAAGAGTAAAATGGGCCAATCCCATCAAAGCCAATGAGAGAAATTTCATATTTCGCTCTCCTACGAAGCAATGACCCAAAACACACGGCCAAGGCAACAAAGGAGTGGCTCAAGAAGAAGCACATTAAGGTCCTGGAGTGACCTAGCCAGTCTCCAGACCTTAATCCCATAGAAAATATGTGGAGGGAGCTGAAGGTTCGAGTTGCCAAACGTCAGCCTCAAAACCTTAATGACTTTGAGAAGATCTGCAGAGGAGTGGGACAAAATCCCTCCTGAGATGTGTGCAAACCTGGTGGCCAACAACAATAAACGTCTGACCTCTGTGATTGCCAACAAGGGTTTTGCTACCAAGTACTAAGTCAAGTTTTGCAGAGGGGTCAAATACTTATTTCCCTCATTAAAATGCAAATCAATTTATAACATTTTTGACATGCGCTTTTCTGTATTATTTTTTGTTGTTTTTCTGTCTCTCACTGTTCAAATAAACCTACCATTAAAATTATAGACTGATCATTTCTTTGTCAGTGGGCAAACGTACAAAATCAGCAGGGGATCAAATACTTTTTTCCCCTCACTGTAAGCGTTATATTCTGCCAGGAAATGCCACGTTAGCGAATGCCTCTTTAAACTAATCTCAACTAAAAACTATTTCTATTTTACCACGTAAGGCCCTGGCCATCACAAATGATAGGCCTACGAAGTGGCTTATCATCACGTTGAAATTTATAGCAGCCAAATACTCTCAACGCGTGTTTCTAAATGTGGACCCGGACATGAACCCACGTGACCACGGGGAGAGAGAGAACACGCAAACTCCAAATATACAGGAATCGTGAGGGTGGGGATCGAACCCACGACCTCCTGCATACCAGGCGAGGGAGATAACATCGCCACCTTGGCGCCAGCAAATGAAAACAAAACGAGTGATCTGGCCAGCACCAACAATTGTCGAGTCACATTTTACTTCCCATTCCAATGTTGACACAATGCACCACGCACTCATCGTAGATTACCTGCTGACTTAAAGACGCCTTGTATACAAATACGCCTATGTTCGTGTGCTACAATAAACCATTATTACCTCTGCAATAAGACTCCCCCCCCCCCCTCGTCTTAGCCTTTTGTTGTTGATGTAACTCAACTCAAGTGCTATAAACGAGTTGTGCTACAAGCTTTCTGGGCCAAAGGTCCCCGTCAAAAAAATATCTTCAAGTGAGGTTAACTTGACAATTAGCTCGGACTCGCCATTGGCAAACTCACTTCATCATCCATAATAGGTTTTTTGGGTTAGATCGCGTGAATATATAAATGTGTCGTTAAACCTACCGCCACCCGACACAGCCAATTAGTAAGGTTTGTCATGTAAACAGAACATGCCAATCCGTCACGAGTACAGCACACCGGTGTGTTGGAGAGCAAATCCACAACATTTACAATCATTCACTTCATCATCTACTCAGCCGGAATGCCCCCCCCCCGCCACGATGACGCCGCTAAGAAGCTCGTAGGCTAAGCGAGAGACGTGTGGCCCCAATCCCGCTCGAATGGGCAAACCGCCACGCACAGCATGTGTAGGGAGACTGCCTTGTGGGCAGCAAGAGGGCAGTGCGGAAAAACTTCACTGTCTAACATAATTTATCCCCCGACCCCCCACCGCGTCTATGCTACCCGCGTTCGCCAACCCCGACACTGACCAGCGCGGTGGTGACGTGGTGGTGGTGGTGGTGGTCAAATAACCCCAATGGCGACCGGCACAGGCATGACAGTGAGGGAGGGCCCTTATCTAGCAGCGGATTGCCGGAAGTGAAGCGGCCGTTGCTTTTACATCTGGCAGAGCAGAGTCACGGCATCGCGCACGCGGCGCTTTCAGACGCGCTTCTGCGGCCCGTCTGGAACACGCCTCCTTCCGATATTAGGAAGCCACTGGGAGCTCTGATGCACCTTTAAATCATCTCGAGCAGTGGTTGTTAACCTGGGGTATACGCACCCTCTGGAGGTGCGAGATGCCCTTCCGGGGGGGGGGGGTGGATGAAATATGGCCAGATTTTTCGTCGAAGGTAAATCATTGAAACACAAATTAAGCAAGGGCAACGTAGGTACAACTTAATTTGTATCATAAAACCCTATGTATTTATTAACATTGTACATTGTTTTACGATTGAGAAGCAAATGTGTGCAAGGCTGCAGTGAAGGTTAAGAACCACACTGCTCTTGATTGACAAACTGGTTCCTTTAGAACTGCTTTTGTGTTCAGCATACGCCGCTGCACGTACGTATGTGGAGTATAGCTCTCCGATCAAAACAGTAAGAGTGGCATAGCGCTCCCACGTAAGATACCTTTTTAATTAAATTAAACACCGGGAACATTCTATTCAGGCCATGTTCAGAAGCAAAACATAATTGACTGGGTGTGATGAAATGAAAAACCGCACCTCCGATTACGTACGTGCAGCGCCGCTCAACAACGCGACTTATGACAGAGAGCAGCGTTCACGACTTTTGGACAAACGACGATGCCCCCCCCCCCCCCCCCCCCTTGCACACGAGTTGGGAGCCTTGAGACAGAAACAAAACATGCCCAGAGGAACTGGAGGCCCTTCCTGAAGCAGCAAAAAAAAAACAATGCGAGCCCGTTTATGCGTCGGACAGATTGATTGACCGTGCCGAAAGGAATTTGACCGCGGGTGTTTTGTGGGGAAAAGGGATATTTTTTTTTTTACACACCCTTGTTCTGAGTATATACAACTTGATTGACGCGAATTGCTCCCGATGTTTTGTTCGACTTTGCCAAATATTGTCCGCCCGCCCGATGCCTAAACGCTGCCGTAAAAAAAAAAAACACACACACTCGGCCGTTAAAATAAACACAGCTCCGTGTGGTGTCCAGTTTTTAAAAGGACTAGAAAGAATGGCCACGCGTAAGCGTGGATTCCGAAACGCTACTCCAACATGCGTTTCTCCCTGGACGTTGATCACCGTGCCGTAATAACGTTATTGTTCATCAGTGACGATGGCATTACGTCACGGGATGACATCACGCGTAATCGTGTCATCAAAATGGGTGTTTGCACGACGTCTGATGTCATCACCGTGGCTTAAAGGGATGATTCATTTAATGCTGGGTTTTTTTTTATCACGAAGTTTTGCAAAACCTATTGGGACACCCATTGATCAAATACAATTTTATTTTTATTTTATCACCTTTATGAGATTTTGCACAGCACCGCCAACCCCCACCTCCTATAGACTGATGGACAGAGCTACTCCATTAATGCCTTCAACTTTCGTTTGAAAGCATTAGAAACTGTTCAAAATCAGCCATGATGTCTTGCATCTGGTGAGTTCGCACCTGTAGCAGGGCACTTGCCACCTATAGACCGATGGACAGAGCTCATCCATCAACGCCTTCAAACTTTCGTTTGAAAGCATTAAAAACTGCTCAAGATCAGACGTGATGTCTCGTGTCTGGCTCGCTCGTCGCTGTGGCAAGGCACTCGCCTCACAAATCTGGATCAGAGGTCAACCCAGCCCATCATCATCATCATCATCCCCTCTGGGGCCAATAAAGTGAGGGAGCAGCACACTGTATAAAGTAAACGTTCGGTTGCCCTGCATACCAGCAGGGCTCACCGCCGCCAAACCTTCGTAACCCACCCATGATGAAGGCAAGCGTTCCTCCGATGTGGACTTTGTGGCAATTAATAAAATGTTACTTTTACGATGCACGTGGTGGGCTAATGCGCGAGCCAGCCAACAGGGTGCGTGCGTGCCAATACGGAATGGAAACATTTCTTTGTGCGTTGGCGGCGGTGCCGGCTCTTTTTGGCTGCACTCCTGCTCCTTTAACTTACATCGGATCAATGTTCTAAAAAAAAAAGTATCTAAACCTCCTCACAGCGCAAGGTGATGCTCACTTCACTTCGCTGAAAATGTGACAAATGAGGCGCAATCCTGACACCCCCACGCTTACCAAGTCCCATCAGCGCGTTTATCCCTTAACCACAACCGGTTTGCCGGGGGCACCACCGCCGATGACCTCATGCGCTCATCCTGGGAGTGCCGTTTGTTGCTGGCCGCACGGACGGCCGTTTCGGGCCTTTTTGAGGGCGGGTGGGGGGGGGGGGTTGTGAGAGAGAGAGCAATAAAAAAAAACACAACAGATAATCTAGATCTTGATTTGAAGCTTTTGTGACTGCAGGAATCCATACTCTTTGGTTCTTTCGGTAAAGTCACGTGGGTAGAAAAATAAAATAAAATAAAAAATAACATATCGCGACGTTTCGATCGCAACACAAGCGGTCGTCTTCAGGCGGAAAAAAATAATCCAGCAGTGGAACTGCTGAACCGTGACTGCAGGGATTACTATTTGCTTCTTTCGGTAAAGTCACGTAGAAAGAAAATAAATTAAATAAGTTAAATAATATTTTACTTATTTTCCTACCCTTTGGTTCTTTCGGGTTCGTTGCACAACCAACATGCTGACCGCTGCACCATCGCTCCATTATCAGAATCAGAATATTTATACTGGAGGAATCCGATGAGCTATAAAGCTCTTTTTCAACGATGTCCAGCAGGGACACGGGGT